AGTTCTCCACCCTTCCACTCTGCCAGTGTAGCTACCCCAGAGAAAGAGAAAGCTGCTTTGTTGGTAATCTTAAGAAAATGCAAATAATAATAATAATAAAGAAAAATCCAAAAACAGACAAGAAACCATTCAGGGACAGTTTGCCTGTCTTGGGTCACATGCCCGACCCTGAACCTGTAGCTGGGACAAAGCTTGCCTCTGACTACTTGGGCCTGGATGTGCAGCTAAGCCAGGGAGGGGTCAGCCCTTCTGGATTCTCGGACTGAGAGTGAAGCAGTTCCCAGAGACTGTAGAGTTTTGTGTGCCCCAGGACCCTTCCAGGCAGCTGCAGAGACTCTGAGGCCCATGTCTTCTGCACCCCATTCTCCTTCCATCTTTGTGCTCAGGCATGGGTTTCTACGTTCTTGTGTGTGTGTGTGTGTGTGTGTGTGTGTGTGTGTGTGGACACAGTTTCCCCATCTGGAGAATGGGAATCAAGGACTTAGATTTCAAAGCTATGGCTGAAGGCCTGGCTGCATTCTGGGATATCAGCCATTTCCTGGGAAGGGAAGGGACCAAGTGGTCATCTGGTGGCCAGAGAAGGGAAGGGTCTGGGTCCTCTGCTGACTTCCATGCTTCCAGATCTCAGTGATCCCCCAGCTCCTGAACTGGCTTGCTGCACCCCTGGGGTGGGACGGAGTTCTTGGCTGGGCTGGGAGGATGGCCCCACCTCCTCTAGGCTGGGCCCCAGGCAGTCACAACGGGGAGGATTGTTCCCACAGACTGTCTGGGTCAGAAAACACAAGTCGCCACTGTGTTGGCTTTCAAGGGTGTGGGCTCCAAGGTTAGAGACCGCCAGTCACCAGTGTGCCTGGGGAATCCCCCTCATCCCTGGCCTGGCCTCGGTACTGGTGAGATGGAAGCCTTGATGCTGTGTGTTTATGGGAAGCCCGCCTGTTCGCCTCCAAGAGCACCTCATTTGTTCAGAAGTTCACCCCTCCCTCCAGCCTCTCCCCATAGCACAGAGAGAGCTTGGGCGTCATGCCCCACCCTCCACCTATACAGAGGAAAAAATGGAGGTCCGGGCAGGACTCATGCTGACTGTATAGGCAACTCTAGAAAGCAGTTCGATTCAAGGTCTTTAAAACACCAAGGGCCCAAGTCTGTTAGTTACAGCTATATGACTTTGGACTTGGCTTCACCCTTCTGAACACACGGTTTCTCTTTTTATGGGTGTCTCACTCTGTTGGCCAGGATGGGCTTGAACTCCTGGGCTCAACTGATCCTCCTGCCTCCCAAACAGTTGTTGCTACAAACTGATCATTGGTGCTACACCTGATCATCCATTTTCTTCTACATAAAACAGAAAGACAGACAGACATGCAAACAGGCAGCCTCCAGGAAGCTCTTTGAACCCAGTACCTCCATCCTCTCCTTTCCAGGCCCCAGTCTGCCATCTGGGAAGTACTCATGTAGCCAGTGCCTGCCTCAGTGTCTGCACCTGTCAAAGCCCCCTTGCTGTGAGTGCTTGGGGCTGGCTGTGCTTGTCGTTAGTTCCCGAGGAGCAGACAGGCTTGTGACAGATGGGGCCTTCAAAAGTCACACGCCTGTCTGAACTGTAGCTTCCTCCTCTGTTGCCTGAGAATGGTATTTGCCTTCCAGGCCTGAGGAGTGGCAGTGGTCAGCACTGACTGGCTTTTTTTTTTTTTTTTAATCATTGCTGTTGCAACATCCTCTACTGCCTTTTGGGACTGGATTGTTGCCCCAGCCAGACTCTTAAGGAATTTGTTTTTGGCACAGTGACCGCGTAGCCCCTCCCTGGTGGACTCTGGCTTCTGAAATCTGAGTGAGGCACCGGGCACTGACTGGGCAGTCTTGGTGCTGACACTGGCTCCTTGCTGAAGGCCTGGCCCTTCAGTCAGTGCTGCGTTTACAGTGTGGGCAAAGCAGATCTGCGCACTCCTGGAAAACCTTCCCACCCCCACATCTACGGGAAAACAGCCTTTGCCAGAACCCTCAGCTCCGAAAGGTGGTGGTGAACGGGTGGCTTTGCCTAGCTCATTGTGGTTGAGGAGGTGCTGTGGTCACCTGACCTTCCATCTGCCACCCCAAAAGGCCTCACCCTTCCTCTCTGCCTCTCCAAAGGCCCAGAGGTGCCTAACTTCTCTTCTAAAAGAGACTCTAGCTGCTCATCTAATGGATTTTTAAGGTGTTCTGAACAAGCACTCAAAATTGAATTGAGGGGAAAAGGGACCCCCCCCCCACAACACATACATCCTGCTGACCTGGGCTCCTGGGCTGGGTGCTGAAGGTCTCATGACCTTTGGAGGAAGACTGGTTAGTGGGAGCGTGCAGGCTTGGGAGCAGCCTTCCAGAGGTCCAGGACCACATGTTACTCTGCTCTTGGGACTTTGCCTCAGTCTGCCTGCCTACCTACACCGCCCTGGAGGATGGTTGAGATAGTAAACTAGGTTAGCACACCTAAGAAGTGTGGGCCCAGGGTAAGCTAGCCCTGTCTGTCTCCCCCCCCCCAAGTTCCCCACCCCCCACCCCGGAAACCACCTGCCCTAATCAATGCAGGGGCGCGGGGCAGAGCTCTTGGCAGTTTAGGAGAACCCAAACTGAGAATAGACAGCAAAAAAAAAAAAACGCCTGTTTGCATCCTCCCCGCCACTTCCTTCTCAAAGGTTCCATCTAAGGTTGGTGCCTGCCTTCTGGGGCCACACCCATCATAAACAGTCACTAGTCCCTCTCAGCAGGTTAGGTTTCACCTCTTCATTCAGACCTAAATCCCTGAGGCCAGGGAGAGGGTAACTGTTGAGTGTCCCCTGTGTGGGCCTTACCCGAGGCATAGCAAAGGTCATCAGGTTACAGAGGCTTCTCAGCTCTGGGGATTGTAGGGGTTTGAATAGTCTAGAGCAGAGGTTCTCAACCTGTGGGCTGTGACCCCTTTGAAACACTTTCATAGGAGTCGCCTAAGACCAACAGAAAACAGATTCATTGCGATTCATAACAGTAGCAAAATTACAGCTATGAAGTAGCAACAAAAATAACTTTACGTCTGGGGGGGAGAGGGGACACAACATGAGGAACTCTATTAATGGGTGGCAGCACTAGGACAGTTGAGAACCACTGCGTTAGAGAAGGGAGAGACCCTGCGATGATAGAAGACCCTGCTGCGGTGTCCAGGCACCTCTCTGAATTTGGCCTTGCTTCTCACCTTCACTGTGGGGGTCTGAGCTGTGCGTTGCTGGGAAGAACTGTTGTCAGCTAAGGTCAGAGGTCAGAGTGGGCAGAGGCACAGCATCCTCCAGAAGGCACGGCCCTGGGGTACCCACTGCCCCTGTCCTTGTGAAAAGCAGCTGCTGGTGCCCACGGCTGTGTCATCAGTGTGCCCTCCGCCAACACTGAACGCAGCCTTTATTAGTTTTCCGAGACAGGGTTTCTCTGTAGCTTTGGAGCCTGTCCTGCAACTAGCTCTTGTAGACCAGGCTGGCCTTAGACTCACAGAGATCTGCCTGCCTCTGCCCCCTGAGTGCTGAGATTCATGGCCTGTGTCACTATGTCTGGCTCAAGGTTTTTTCTTTGTTTATTTTCAAATCATCTCCAACAATAAGTGGGTCCCATAGTGGAGCCCCATCCCCGCAGTCCTGGTAGCCTCTGTTTCTGTCTGTCACTGACCACTTTGGGTCAGTTAGATGGAATCATAAAGTATTTAGCTTTTGTGCCTGGCTTGTTTCACTTAGAGACCAGCATTTATTTTCTTTTTTCTTTCTTCCTTTCTTTCATATTTTTAACCTTTATTTCTTTTTTCAAAGTTTTTTTAAAATTTATTATGTATACAGTGTTGTGCCTGCATGCTCTAGGTCTCATTACAAATGGTTTTGAGCCACCATGTGGTTGCTGAGAATTGAACTCAAGACCTCTGGAAGAGCAGCCCATGCTTTAAATCTCTCCAACCCCAACCTTTATTTCTAATGCAGTGCCCAAGAAGGCCAGAAGAGGGCATTGAATCCCCCTCCCTTGGAATTATGGATGGTTGTGAGCCACTGTGTAGGTGCTGGGAATCGAACCCAGGACTTCTACAAGAGCAACCAGTGCTCTTAACGACTGAGCCATTTTTCCAGCTCCAGAGAGCAGCATTCTCAGGGCTCATTTGTTACTGTTTTGGCATCATGGTGGGAGAGCAGCCTATTGCATGTATGTGTTAGTTTCTTTGGTAGCCCTTAGGTGTGTTGACAAGCTGGAATCCCCACTTGGGGCTCCTCTGGCTCTGAACCTGTAGCAGGATTGTAGCGTCTGTGTTGGTCTCTGGGTGCTCCACTGCTGTCCTGCCCCGCTCCAGTTCTCCCTTCCACGTCCTCAGCAGCTCCTGTTAAGAATCCTGACTGAATCGTCCTAGGTGGCGACAGCCTTCACTCTTTCTTGGCAGATAAGAAGTAGTGGTCTGCCCAGGTGGCTTGTAGCCAGGGGACAGTTTACTGTGATGCATGTGGGACACATACACATGACCCCCCCACAGGCACATGACCCCCCCCACAGAGGCATCCCCACATATACACACATATGAATACATGCACATACCCCCTACATGAATACATGCACACACATGAACCTTAAATAGTGCATAGGGTCAGTGTTCACGAGTCCTCTGTTTCAGGCTTTTCCTGGCTGTCTGTCAGGAATAGGTTCCCTCAGACTTTTTGTTCTTTTTCTTTCTTTTCATTTTTGTATTATAAAGACTTTATTTTTATGTGTATGTCCGTGTGTATGCACTAGCCTGTTCTTGTATGTTTCCCATGGTATGACTATATCTTGCTTCCTTACTAAGCACAAAGAATGTTCTTTCTGGTCTGAGCTCCCCTGTGGTGATACCTTGTGTGCCCTGGGCACCGTTGGAAGGTGTGTCTGGTCAGTGTCTCAGACCCCTGGATATCCACGTCTGTTTTCACATTTGTATGGAAGGCCGGGAAGCCTTCTGCCCTGCTTGCCTTGTAATCTCCCTTATCTCCACTTCGCAGGCCAAAAACAAGGAAACCGGTGCCTTGGCAGCCGCCAAAGTCATCGAGACCAAGAGTGAGGAGGAGCTGGAAGACTACATTGTGGAGATTGAGATCCTGGCCACCTGCGACCACCCATACATCGTGAAGCTCCTGGGGGCCTATTACTATGACGGGAAGCTGTGGGTAAGAGTGCGCCGGCCTGGGCCCCATGCCTACCATGCTGACCCCGCGTCTGTGGTGTGAGTCAGGGCTGCAGCAGGGAGAAGATGAAGTCTTCTGCTGAGTCCTCGGCCTCCCCTTCTCACATTCACCCCCCTTCCCGTACTCAGGCTGAGGCCACAGAAGCAGAAGTGTCCCAAAAGTCCATTCTGTCCTTGAGTGCTGTGCTGTAGCATACGAACAAGGCTGGACCGTTGCTAACCCTCTGTGAGTGGAGCGTGAGCATCCCTCATCTAGAAATCCGACACAGTCCAGAGGGTGCTGCTGCTGCTCAGAGCATTTCAGATTTTATACCGTCGGCCGGGGAGGCTTGGGGCAGCTCCCCTAGTAAAGGTTTAGGTCTGAGGTCCTCCTGAGCCTTAACACGGCACCCGATAAGGAATTCTCATCTTGTGCTACCTTGGGCACGGAACGCCCCAGGATTAAGTGGGTGAATTCTGAATGAACACCTAGAGGCCTGGTATGGACAGGGCGTCTGAGTGCTGACCTTGGTGTCATCTGCAGGACTCACAGCTCTCCCACTTCCCTGCTTGTCCCTCCTAACCATCACCCCTGGCTCCTGCAAGGGTCCTAGGACCTCACTGGCTTCATAGGATGAGGCAGCCCTGCCTGTAATCCTGTCATCAGCTTGCCTCATGGTGACACCGTTCAGTTGACAAAATCCAGATGCCCTGGAATGTGCGTCTGGCTAAACTTGTTTCCTGCCAAGTCTCTCTTGCACATGCATGAGAGAGAGAGAGAGAGTTGAGACCAGGGCCTTGTGTATGCTAGGCAAGTGCTCTACCACTGAGCTACATCTCCAGCCCAGTAGCATA